CCCCTGTGCAAATCATGATGCTCAGATCAGATCACAGCCGATCGTGTTTGTATAACAATTTAGCCACACAGATTGAGGGCAGAAATCCAAAAATAAGTCGACGGGTGTCGCGATGAGAAATCGAACAAATATTAATAATAAATAGTAATGAATTTAAACCTAAGTAACTGTTGATGCCATGTACAAGACAACAAACCATTTACATTTTCGCTTGTTATTTCCGCTATTGGCGCTGACGGCCGGGGATGATTCAGTGAAAATAAAATTGAGTGAGTACATTTTTTCCTGCATTTTACAGTAAACTCATCAAAAATCAGTGAAAATAATTTTCTACAAAACGCCCAAAAAGTCTTTTCAATGAAAATTAATTCCAGCTAAAATAAAGTATTTTTACTACCTATACTAAAATATATTTGGATATTTAGAGTACTAACGAATTCCAACAAAGTCCGGTTAGACTTAAAATACACCACGAATTTTCACTTTTGAGATATAAATTTTTGGTATGTGTTGGTTCCTGGATATCTAAGCTTCGTTGTCCTGTACTTCGTATAGTAATTCGAACTTCCCAGTTTGCGTAAAAAAGGAGAGTTTCGCGATTTTGACATCGAAAATGCCTTTGCTTCATTATTTGCTGAGATACGGCCGCTTAGGTATGTGCTCTGTAACTTACAGCACATGAACCTTAAAACGTTAGGTAATCAAACAAAAATTACGTTGTACTAAAGTCCAAAAAGTACATTCAGAGTCTTCATTTTTTTCGTAGCATAAAAACGATTTACTCCCTCGCTTATTGTGATACCCTCAAATCAACTGATTATCATTCCCCTCAAGAGTCAAAATTGTATGTGCCTCCATTTTACGCTAGGACTGGAAAAAGTCTTTTTTGCTTGACGTGTTCATTTGTCTTCAATCACGTTTCAGTGGCTGTCACTGTCGCATTCTGAGTCTTGCCGATAACATTTTGGTTCAAATCCACATAGCTATTGCCGAAAATTCAAGAAATCTTTCATTTCTTTGTCAACTAACATGCTGGAAATCAAATTAGCATAACAATGCGTTCGAAGGTTGTTGCCATTTTATTCGACAGCTTTCCACACTAGTGCCACACCACATACAACTAAAATATTTAAACCTTTGTTGGGAAATTCACGTGTAAATTGCGTTTTTAAGTCGCGTACCATAAATTGCGTTTTACAGTCCCTCAAGTTTGTTCCAAAGACTGTAGTCGCACCAGAGATAACCAGAACATTGATTGGTTTCAAAAACATTCGTCGTTAAATTCACGTTTAAAAACGTTTTTGACCTTTGTGAAACGATGATAAGCAAACAATCATGGTAGATTGGCTCAACTTTCTGTCGATCGGAAACGCAAAGGAGATAAGACTCGATTTTCATAGACTCAGGTCGTTTAGATCGGACGGTTACTTTTGTTTCAGGTTCGATAGCATTTAGTGTTCATTTCTATGCAATATAAAATCATATCGATGCTGTGGGCGGCGAAGGCTGACAGATTGTTTTGGTTCTGTGGCCGGCTCTCATGGCACGGGCAACTGACATTAGCTGACTTTTATTTACTGTTCTGACGTGTTATGGGCTGTATCATGGAGCTAAAGCTCCATGGCTGTATATAACAGTTAGACACTGACAAGTAAGTAGGTTGGTACTAGTAAACAGCCCGGGACATAGTCAATATAGGAGTCTGTATAGTTGAGTATTTGAGAAAATAATTTAGCTAAGTAGTATTTTTTTTACTTTCTCTGGCCATGTTATATTTTATTATCTCACACTTTCCTTAAAAGTGGTAATGAAGCATATTCTATTCTATTCTATTTCTCAGTCTGCTTCAGTATTTTTGTTTTCCCGGCTGCTTTATATTTTTTCTGTAAAAATAAATTGCTGATGTGTTGTGAGAAATGTGTGCATAACACTGGTTACATGCAATCAAATTAAACTAATCCATTTATGTTTTTTGTTTTTTTTCCAGATGGGCATTTTCAAATTATTTCTTGTATCGGAACAGTAACATTAGCATCCTAGCGCTACTTTATTTTGTTCAAGGAATACCGTACGGATTTCAAGCCAGATTCCTACCTGTGTATTTACGTCAAAATAGAGTGTCTCTCACAAATTTAGGTTTCATCAAGCTTCTTCTTGTCCCGTGGCTGCTCAAAGTGTTGTGGGCACCATTGGTTGACCGCTGGGGCACAAAACATTCCTGGCTAGTTTACAGTATATGTGGCTTGGCCGTTGTCTGCTTGGCAGGTGCTTTCATCGATCCGAATACTCTGCCTCTGCTTTGTGTGGTAATATTTCTATTAAATTTATGTGCAGCTACTCAAGATATCGCAGTTGATGGGATTGCCATATCGTTGCTCGGTGAGGAAGACCTCGGGATTGGTAACACAGCTCAAGTTGTAGGATACAAATTTGGTTCTATAATCGGCGGTGGGTTATTAATATGGCTCATTGAACACATCGGCTGGTTTGGGCTTTTTATCAATTTAGCTTGTCTCTATTTTGTGACTCTCTGGGTCATCTCTCGCATACCAGAGTTGAAATCAAACAATACAAAGCAAAACGGGAACAGGCATGAAGAACAACCACTTGGTTTTGCTAACAACGGGAAAAATGGACAAATCAAGATTGACAAAGCAGGCTGTCTAAATTATGGAAATATCGGCAATGTCGAATCTGAGAGTGGGACGTTTACATGCAGCCACACTGCCTTGAGAAATGGAAAGAAACTCTACAAATATGAAAGTACCAGCACAATAGAAGACAAACACAGGTCTGATAGAGGAAAGCTATCTCATATTTCCAGGACCAAGTCCAACATTAATGAACTTGATGGTTGTCTTTCATCTGATATTTGTGACTGGGTGTCTAGGATAGGGAAGGTGCCAGGAACAGCATGGCTGTTTGTTTATGTTCTAACATATAAACTTGGTGAGTTATTATTATTTGGCTTATAAAATTATCATAAAATTCCCTTCAATGAAATATGACAAATTATTTTTCCACCAAAATTATCATTCATATGTAAGCCAGTCGCTGATGGGGTTTTTCTGTGTGTGATGAGGTGTTTGTATACAAGAGATTTTTTTCCATGCAAAATCTCTGAATGTAATCTATTTTCATTAGTGGTCGACTTAATGTTGACAAATTGTTTGGCTGCAAAAGTTTAGTATTTTTACTCTGATTTGTAAAAATCTAGAAAATACATTTCAAAATTTGTTCGTTTGTTTAAATTTGGGCAGGATTCAAGACAATGGCCCTACATTATAAATATCGATAAATTCATCTTACTTGTTTTATTACATATATACGCAAGCAAAATGTGTATGGTAGGTATGGTGGAATGCAGATAACCCTGTGCAATACCACAAAATTATGGCATGTTGTAACTTGAGGTGCTCAGGTAGCCGATTACTTTTTTTCACCATGTTTCTTTTGGATTATTCATGTACAGTCTTGCTAAATCCTGCTAAGCATTCAAAAGAGAGAATGTTCGCACCTGTTTTCTATATTTTTAAATCGTATTTTGAGTATGTTCCACTATTCACAATGCTGCGTAATTTTAACAGTCTAGCCAGGACTGTTTGAATAATAAAATGCAAAAAAAAAAAAAAATTCACTCCCAAGTGCCCATGAACCTGCATCTATATTTTAATAATAACAGTACCTGTAATACTGTACTATTCTTATTGTGTATTGTATGAGGTTTTATCCACTGGTACAATATTTAAACTCTACTTATATCAAGCAATTTTTGTTATTGTTGGTAAAACACAATTTGGAAAACTTTTATCATTGTCTGTTTTTGTTTAAAAAAATAGCAGATGTTTGATTAAAGTTCAAGGGCAGGAGGCATACATCAAAGAAAATCCACAATGTGTGTATATCACCTGTGTTTTTAAGCTATAGTTGTCCCTCATCCAGCCTCTAAGCATTACCTGAGTGGCTCTAATCAGTCTCTGCCACAGGTGTATGTTCTTTAATTCTATATATCGTATATGCTCCATTAAAAGTGCATCTCCAATAAAAGCACACGCCTAAAGTTGCATTTGTTTGCATTCATTAAATATACTTATTTTAACCATAGAAATACCTCTGTAATTTACATAAAGGGCATGCACTAATAATATAGCAAATATGGACCTCAAGCGTATGAAAAAAAGCGTCAGCATCACTATTACTATGTAGAAAGACAACCAATCTTTATATTCTCTTCTCACTTGACTCATTTATTCTGCTTTCTTGTTGTTATGGTGACAGATGTATATAAATTTGTTCATGCAACCAAAAACATATTTTTTTTTCACTATTTGCTGTGAAACTTGTATTCCTTGGGTCCATAAGATGAGTAAACTCGTCTTATTTGTTTTGTGTTAGTATGTGACAAGTTACTGGGTGGAAGGGCTATGTTCACTTATCTGATACCTCTGTGTTTATGTGTACATGTGTGCTGTAGCAGGTGACATTGCTGTCCCATATGGCTCTGTGTACTTTGTCATCATCTGTATCTCAGTTGTTTAAATCTACATACAGATTAACTGGATTAACTCACCGTCAGAAATCTATTAAATTATTCTTTATGTCTGGCTAATTGGAAGTCAGACAAAAAACAACCTGGGGAAGCAAAAAATGTGTGTGTTTATGAACTTTCAATCGTAATGTCATTTGATCAAGTTCCAGTTCAAAATGGTCAGCAGTACTAGCTTGAATGCTATAGGGAAATCACAAAGTCATTGTTTTCATGGAAACAACTTCAGGTAACCCTAATTTTTACCTGATGTTTGTCATGTATTTGACAGAGCAAAATATCAGGAGAAATACAATAAATAGAAAATCATCCAAAGACAAAGTTTTTTGTGAAATCATGATGTCTGTAAAATAATGTAATTTTCTTTATTTTGCAACAGTGACATTTCAAGTTACAAGGATTAAGAAAATGTATCCAATGTTTCATATGGCAATATTACAAGATTTTGGTGTGTGATATATGGTGGAAATTTTGCACATTTTTATGAACATTTTGAAAAAACTCATCTTCTTTTTCTGGTCTTTGTAACTGTCTTAACTACATTTGAATAGGAACCACAATCACACTTTTGAC